CTCTCACGACATTATTCTATTTAATACACTAATACTGAATCCGTCTCATATAGGTCGTATGGGAAGGGCACGTTGGACAAAAAGAGCTTCTTGGAAGGTAGGTGGGTGGGATGGCTGACCGGGAGCCGTATTGCATCATGACTCCTCTTCGAGTCAAGCCGTATTGCATCATGACTGCTCGTTCGGTCAAGATCCTCAGCTGGATTACTGTGTGAACCTAATTCTCTGATCGAATCCTCGTTTCCGTCTAGGGGCCTGGTTGCTGATTTGCCTGATATGTTCACAGAAATAGGTATTTGGGTTTAGTACTCATCAATACCTAGCGCAACAACTTTCTCTTGTATTCGATGTTTTCTTGTGTGCAATGGTAATTCGATGCTCTGCTCAAAATGATATCTAAGCTCCAAATGGAAGCTCTCAAAACTCGACAATCCCCTTTGAGAAAAATAGAAGTGGGGGAGGGGGGTTACGCTTTATCATGTTCCTGATTTCTCTAGGTTCAAGTTTGGCCATTATTGATGGCTCTTAATTGAATGCCTATTTGTGATAGCATCATGCATTCAAATACATATGTATTGATGTTTCGTATGTTTGCATAATTTTGAGGGAAGGTGGTGCTGTACCAGCAGGGCGCAAATAACGTCAGCGCCATGATGTCGAACTCGTTATCAGGGTTCTGAATTACCAGTGTAGGTGAAGTTTTTATCGGAAGAATTTCTGTTGTTGTTTTCAAATGGAGATTGTTATTGGATGGTCGTAACTGGTCTATACCGGGCAATATCATTGGACCGCAGAGTAAAAGTTTACATAGGGAAGCTTGGTTTTAGAAATCCAGAAGACACAAGTCATCAGAGGGAGGCTTTCTTTTCAAGAAGGCACTTGGAATAAAGTGAAACTATTTTCCATAGAGAAAAAAGGTGTTCTCATGTCTATTCAGACATAGTCTTTTGGAACCTTCCCCTTGGAGCTTTATTCTCGACGTTCCCCTCCGTAGTACTCGGGACAACAGGTCATGAGTACATTCTTTTGTACGGCCCGCCAAAGGTATTAGGAAGGGTGTCTGGGGTAGGGCAGGAAGGTCGTTCCATAGGAGGTCATTGAAGGTAGAACGGAGTTTGATTTGTGGTATTGGAAAGTGGGAAGGATCAGCATATCCTGTCAAATCTGACTGGTTGAGCCATAGCTCACGCAGATAGAGGCATTTTTCACCACTTTTGAACTACTTTTACGAACCCATTGGTTTTGTGTTAGCTCATACATTTTCGATTTAGAGAATGACAGTGTTCGACTCTTCAACAAACAATTTCGATAGACAAGATGTTGTCCCGCTTCACTCGAATGAGTTCCTTGGGTGCTCACCTAATCTCAGGGTGTACGGCTCTCAGGGAGCCCACAACCGCTCCTAAGCCTGTCACCCCTCAAGTTGAATCTTCCGGTCGATCTGGATCCTTTATAGCTGCAAAAGAAAACAGGTGAGTAACCTATGAATATCATTTCTTTGACTAACTTCCTGCCGTTTCTCGTGATAGCTTAGATGGGTCTAATATTGACAGTTAAGGAGCAATATATATTCGACTTAGATGTTTACTCATTCAAACCCGTTTTTACCGCATCATGTACCTGGGCACTTTGTGTCTCTTTCCAGCAAGGAACGCCTTGTATAGTCATGTTGTCACTCCGTACCACCTCTTCATTCGATAAGAGAGTGCGCCCGCAATATCAAATAAACTAAGGTTGGGATGGATTAGGACGAACCGTTGTATTCGCCCCGTCCAAATTAGGTCGACGCGTACTTAGCAACCCAATTTCTTCAAAGCCTTCGCTTGTTTGCGATTCAATAAGCATCTCGGGTTATTCTTAACGATTTGGATGAAGTCATGCGTTTAACTTGTGAACTTTTTGCCAGAGGTCATCCGAGCGTTCAAATGACAGGAGTATCTTGAATGAGCATACCGTACGCGGGTGTGAGTGTGGCTTGCTATGCCTTTATGTAGGGAGGCTCCCCTTTCATGGGTTATTTGTCGGTAAAAGCAAGCACGAACTTGGTAGCTGCAAAAATGGTGAATGTAGCTTCAGTTATGGTTGTTCCCCGGATCCATTCTTATGGCACGATCACGAGAACTTTCTCGCAGAACTGTTAGAATTGGATCATTGGAAGAATGATCTATCCCCACCAACATCAAGATCATCACCAGGTGAGGTAATTTTAACCATCTCACGAAAATATGACCTCATTGAAGCTAATTTTACAGAACGCCAAAATTTTACGACTGATGACAGTGCAGAATGGAGTAGCATTCTTCATAGCATGGAATGGATCGATAAATTCGAAGCCTTAGACATTCCGGTTCGTATTATTACCAATGCATGCGTTGTGAATCGCACAACTTGATGCGATGCTTCAGAAAATTGATTCTGATTACTCATCGGATTATCCTGAATCCACATCACTAGATGATGCGTGTGATTTCCTTGAAAAAAGTGCTTCATTAATCGACTGGAAGGTAGAAATGCTATAGTTGGGGATGTTACCAATCCTCGATTTACAAGTACTTCCCTTGGTTTTGCAGGCTTGGAATAGTTATCTTGGTGTGGACGACGATTTGGATTTGGATGTGAAAACTGATGACGAACTTGCAGCAGAGGAACAGTCTCCGAAAGAAAAAGCCCTTGAAGAATCATTCAGTAAAGTTGAGGTTAAGGACGAAAATGGTCCTTCACCTCCGTTTGAGCCCAAGCCGCAGTGTGTTGAGCCAGTGGCGGGTAACGTTGCCTTTGTAAGTTATATGCTTTTCTGTACTGTCCATGATTCGATGTGGATTGAATGTTTTCAGAATAATAAGCTGAGTGAAATCGAAAAAGCCATTGTTCGGTCGTCAGGTCCTCTTACGTGGTTACCCTGTGTTAAGCAAGAGGACCAGTATTCTGATGTGTCATCCCGCTCCTCCACGTCCCCCGTAGATATTGCCAATCAAATTAGAACAGTGAAACGTCGTGGAGTGAAAATGAAAGTGAGTTCGTGATCTGTTTTCAAGTTATAACTGATAAGAGGCATTCATTTCAGCCCCCTAGTGATGATGAAACTAACCATCGCCGTTGGCTGAACCGCGAGGCTGCGTTCCGCTATCGAGAGAGAAAGCGATTGGAGCAACTTGAAAGAAAAAAGTAAGGTTTTTGTTTTTAGGTTCAGCGTATTCATTTCCTTACCGTATTCATTTACCGTTTCGCCTTCGAACTGTGTTGGTATTTGTTTTGAAATGTAAGAGTACTGTAAATGGGCAAACTCTGGTTTACCTGGCTGGTTCCAAACCGTAATATTCGTTTCGAAATTCTCTGCTCTCAAGTGTCCAGGACCAGGGTAAGGGGTAATGAGGTTGGATCGGTTCCTCTACTCATCGGGTAGCTTTTTAAGGTTCCTCAGGTTGAGCCGAGCTTAGTGAGGGTTGAAATCCAGCATATATTGTCCTTCCGAGACCCTGTTTTCTAAGTTCCTCCCTTCGAAACCACTTTCTATGCCGTGTTGCAATTATTGTATTGTATTCGGAGTGTTTCAGAGAACTTGAAGATCTTGTCAATCGTAACATCTTTCTGAAGAAAAAGGTACGAGAGCTTTCTCGAGAGGTCGCTTCGTGGCAACAAAAACTTGGCAGTACGAATATTTGATGTGTATTTGTGGTTATGTGCAGTGGTTTGAAGTTGTAAAATGGTTCTGATGATGTAGTTGTGGATGTTAAGCAATAAATATTTAAAGAATATGTTTATCTGCAACATTAACATTCGAATCTACGAGATCATTTGGAAAATGATTATTTTAAAGCACATTTGAGGATGACTAGACTGAAGACGTTGTGCGTCGCGCAATAAAACTTTTTTTTGTAGAAAATGGGAAAATTAGAGTATTTGCGAAATTCGTAGGGGCTCGTCCAATTTTGGGTGAGCGGAGGTTTATTCAACTTCATCTTATCTGTGCTAAACAGATGAATCGAGTTTTGGAGTAGGTCACCATTCACAAAAGTAGAAGGACAACTTATCCACCGTTGCATTGGTCTCGTGACAACTCGTCCATTTCTAGATTAATGACGGAAACGCGTCTACTTCTGGTTCTGTGGCAGGCCACTCGCCCGTTCTCGAATGAGCGATGAGACAACGCAGGACACTCGCCCGTTCTCGAATGAGCGATGAGACAACCAGTCCACTTCTTGTTCAATAATAGAACTAAATCGAAAGTGGACGAGATATCCTGTCAGTTGACGAATTGTCTCGACACAAACCTTGGGTAGCTCCGTTGCTAGGTTTATGTCGAGACAATTCGTCAACATTTGGATTGGTGATGATGATAACTCGTATATTTCCATATTAATGACAATGAACGCGGCTATTTTTGTTTCAAGCACAAGGAAAACTCGTCCGCTTTTGAATCAGCGATGAGGCAACTCGTCCACTTCTCATTTGGTGACGGACGGGACAATCGTCCTCTTCTAGCTCAATGAGCCCGGGTCCACTTCTAGATTAGTGACAGGGAAACGCGTTTACCCTAAAATTCCATAGATAAGAGCGGTTTAATCTATCGGTGAAAAATGAATTGGAAAAAATTGAAATTGAATCAGTTGATCCGTCAAAATCGCTATTTTTCTATATGAATTGTTTATTAAGAGGGCGGGGTTTAGTGTTAAGGGGGCGTAGCTTCTTCTAA